CTCTCTTGCTCTCTTTCTCTCCTCCCCCCTTTCCTTCTGTAACTCTGCCTTTCAAATAAGTAAATAGAGGTTTAAAAAATAGATGGTTTCATGTGAATCTTCTCAACTCAAATTTAATCTTTTTGACATCTTTGCTTTAATTTTTTTTTGACAGGCAGAGTTAGACAGTGAGAGAGAGAGACAGAGAAAAAGGTAATATTTTTGTATCTCTTACACCAAAAAAATCTTGGTTTGTAAAATTTGTATTTGAGAGGCAGAGAGACAGGCAGATAGACACACACACACACACACACACACACAGCGAGCGAGCGAGCCCCTCGGCTGATTCAAATGGCTGCAGTGGGAGAAGCACCTGGCTCCAGGTTTTGGATCAGTGCGGTGCGCCGGCCGCAGTGGCCATTGGGGGGTGAACCAACGGAAAAAGGAAGACCTTTCTCTCTCTCTCTCTCTCTCTCTCTCTCTCTCACTGTCCACTCTGCCTGTCAAAAAATAAAAAAAGGGCAAATGGCTGCAGTGGCCACAGCTGGTCCATGGCTGAAGGTGAAAACCGAGAACTCAGTGTGGATCTTCCACGTGAGTGGCAGGAACTCAGTCACAGCCATCACTGCTGCCTCCCAAGGTCTGCATTAGCAGGAAGCTGGAGACTGGAGCCACAGTCTGTAATTGAACCCAGATGGTCTGATGTGGGACTCGGGAGTCCTAATACTAGGCTACACCCCATCTGATAACATTGATTGCTCCCAAGTTGGAATCACATCTCAGTTTCCTGTCCATGTAACACTATATGGACAATACGGTACTGAGTGCAGTTTAAGTTTCTTTCTATTCATTTATCCTTAGATCATATCCCACTAGGGGTGCATAATGAGAACACTGAAAATAATTCTGTTCTCTGTGTAGCTGTTGTTGCCACATTTGAAATAAAGTTAGGCTCATTTGTCCCAATTTGTTTTCCATTTTAGGATTTTATTTTTGGTCTTTTTTATTTTAATGTTTTTGGAGATGTAAAACATTTATGTGGTCCCAAAGTTAAAAAGTGTGTGAAAGGTAGCCAAACTCCCAAAACTGTCACTTCCAACTCTCTCCATTTCATTCCCTCTAACTCCATAGGTAACTATTTTTATTTCTACTCTTTGCAAATATAAGCAAATACCTAAATATATTCTTACCCCTTCTTTTTGTTGGTGGTGCTAAACCCAAATATTACACATTCTATGTACTGCTGTGTACTAGTTCCTTACATCTAAAAACATATTCTGGAGATCATTTCAATCCACTTAGAGTTGCCTCTGTCTCTTTATGATTGCCTGGTCTCCAGTTTGTGTCTGTGTTACCATTTGTGGACCGTCTCCCCCGCTAGCGGGCATTCAAATGGTTTCTCATCTTTTGCTACTACAGAGTCATGCTGCATAACCTCGTGCAAATGTTATCATCTGTGGAGGAGCTTTCTCGGGACAGTTCCTAGAAGTGAGACTGCTGGTTGATGCAGAGGTACTCCTGTTACATTTTTGCCAAGTGCCTTTCCAAGGTGTCGGTCCCGTATGCACTTGCACTGTCTACCAGAGAAGCTCATCAAACTCCTGGCGTGGAGGAGAACTGCGATTTCCACTTCTCTCCCTGTCGGGGAAACTGAGCATCATTTCATGGGTAGAACAGGGGACTTCCACACTTCCTTTCCTCTCCGTCCTCACGTGGCTCTCTGTTCGCGTCTCCTGTCTGTGTTTCTCTCCAGTTGGGGTTTTCTCCATTTTTAACAGCTGGGTATGTACTTGCCCTCATGTGTGAGATAACCTGCCCATGTTCTTTCGTAGTCACTACCTGTCTGTTTTGTTCCTTTGTTGTTAGGGAGTAAAGTGGCACCAGTCGTTCCCAGTTCGTCGCTTTCTCGGAAGCAGGTCAAACAGTCCATCACCGACGTGACGCTTCTCTGCTTTCATGCTTCATGCTGGGCTCTCTGGTCCACTGCAGCTGATTTCAGTGTGAGGATTGCATTCTCTCCATCCTTCTGCAGACAGCTCTCTGTTTGTCCCAACAGCACTTTTTTTTTTTTTTTGAAAAACCCATCTTTTCCTCAGACAGGAATAACTTGATTTATTTTTAGACATTAACTTGAAAGAATGCAGCCCAGAGACTGAGGAACACACACCTGGAGAGAAATGAAAGCAACGGATAGACACGTTTATTCACTCCCCTGGGGGGTAGATCTGCTCCCTCCCTGCCTGCTTGGACCAGAGAGGAACCATGCACTTGGCTATGTGTGGGTGGGTGTGTCTGTGTGTGTGTGTCTGAGTGTCTGTGTGTGTGTCTGTGTGCGCTGTCTTCCAGGGCCTCTCCAGTCCCAAGTTCTGCCCTGGAAGCTGACCTCTGTGCCTAGCATCACTCAGTAGCCTTGCCCTTGGCCTCTGCCTGGGTTCACCTGGCGGGGTAGGGGTCAAGGCTAGGAGACAGGAGTCCTGTGGAACAGAAACCGAACACTGCTGTGGCAGGGGCTGTGTTAATGCTTTCCAGGGTCACTTCTTTAGTGGGTCAGCCGCTGTCCTGCCTGGGATTGCCTGTGCGTTCTGAAAGGCCCTTCCCCTCCTTGCCCTTTCATGCCCGGAGGGTAACAACTCCCCCTTGGTGCTGGCCCCAGGCTGCTTCACTGCCCCCATTGGATCCTCTGTAGAGAGGGCCCATGCACCCTTTCTGGTTAGGCCTTCTTGCTCTTTGAACTTGCCATCTATGCCTGCCGGAGCACAACGGCTAGCAACAGCATCACCAGTACATGCCAATCTATCACTCGCAAAGCTGGGCTCTGTGGCTTTTCTCCACCATCCCCGAATTAGAAAACATACAGAGCAAAGCCAAACAAAGTCAATGAAACTACACTCAGAATTCCACACGCATTCATCTTGTTGATTCATTATTCATCTTGATTATCCTCCTGATGCAGCGTGCGCGGCTCTGTTCTAATCTGTGGTTGGTTTCAGAAACCAAACCCACCTTCAAAGGTTTAAGGTTAAACTCCTCCAAGGACATCGAGGAGAATTCCGCTAAAAGCATCCACAGGCTGCTCTGAGCAGGCATTCTCCGTGGACTGATTGCTCTGCAGTGAGACACACAGACCTGTGCTGGGTCGGGTATGTTTCTGTAGGAAGCAAACAGAGCCAAATATTCCCCTTGCAGTTATGTCACTGGGGCTACTTCCCGGGTACGTTTGTTTTCTCTCATGTTTCCATACGCAGCTTTGAAATGACTGTAGCAGGGATCAGCATTTGGCCTCGCTGTTGGAAGGCCCATGTCCCAGGTGAGAGTGCCTTGGGTTGCAGTCCCAGCTCCACTCTCACTTCCAGCTTCCTGCTAATGCATCCCCAAAGACACAGCAGGTGATGGCTCAAATGGTTGGCTCCCTGCCACCCACATGGGAGACTTGGATAGAGTTCCCATTTTTCGGCTTCCACCTGCCAGCTCCAGTCATTGCAGGCATTCGGGAAGTGATCCGGTGGATAGAGCTCTTTCCTATCACTCCGCCTTGTAAATAAATACAAGTGTTTTTTAAAGGACTCTAGCAAAGCGTCTCTGCTTGGTTCAAGTTGCTCAGTTGTCAGCAGGCAACTTTTGTAGAAAGGGTATTATTCTTCTGCTGAGTCATGTTCAAAGTTCTAACTTAGCTTTGTTTTAGTGAATATTGACCTTTGGAGTGGATTGGACTTGGACATAACATGAAAGCAAAAGGTTTCAGGAGTATTATTTTCCATGTTTCTAAGAGAGGACAGGAGCAAGAAAACAGAGAATACTGCTGCCTGGGATCAGCCTGCTCCTTGTAGCTCTCGTTCTAAAGCAGGTGCCATTTGTCCCTTGGGTTCTTAATTTCTCTTTCAGGTGAAGGATTAAGATAATGTTGTGGGGACCGAGGCTGTGGTGTAGTAGGCTAAGCCTCTGCCTGTGGTGCTGGCACCCCTTGTGGCACTGGTTTGTGTCCCAACTGCCCCTCTTCTGGTCCAGCTCTCTGATAATGGCCTGAAAAAGTAGTAGAAAATGACCCAAGTGCTTGGGCCCCTGTACCCACATGGGAGACCCAGAAGAAGCTACTGGCTCCTGGCTCTGACCATTGCAGCCATTTGGGGAGTGAATCAGTGGATGGAAGACCTCTCTCTGTCTGTAACTCTGCCTCTCAAAAAATAAATACATCTTAAAGAAAAAGAAAAAAGATACTGCTGTGGTGGGGAGGGCCTTGGAAGTCAGGTAATCCAACTTGTATTTTCTATGGGTCCCCAAAGAATGTTGTGTGTGGAGCCCAAGTCACACCAGGTCATTTGTCTCCACTGTCTTGACACGCATCAGTATGGGTTCTTTCTCCCAGTTCAGTTCTGAGAAAAGAAATCTGTGTTGGTTTCACAGAGCCCTTCCTTTTGAGTACTGCAGGACCACCGCTAGAGTTACAGCAGCTGGAACCTATCGACTGGCTTGTTGTCAAAGGAGAAAATTCTCACACACCTTCCTCTGTGGATGCCTGGCATTCTGCCGTTAAGGCATTGTTTCTTTGACTAACGAGCCCAGTCTAGGAGATTTGGATGTATTCTGCTTTCCAGGAAACCAGAAACAACAGGACGTATATATAGATAAATGAGAGGGCATTTATTATGGGAACGGTCTCTTGTGATGATGGGGGCCGAGAAGGGACACAGCCTAACGCCTGCAAGCTGGAGAACCAGGAAGGCTGTGGTACGTGCTGGGGAGGGGAGGGGCGTGCTGACGCAAGCTCCAGGAGCAAGAACCCAGAGCGCTGATGTCCAGGGGCAGAAGACGGGTGTCCCAGCTCCAGCAAAGGGAGAGAATTTGCCCTTTCTCTGCCTTTTTGTTCCAGCTGGGCCCTCAATGGACACCCAAAAAGGCAAAGGACTGATTTTCTGCGCCCAGTTTACTGATTGGAATGTTAATCTTTTCTGGAAACACCCTGCTTCCCTGTACACACACACACACACACAAACATACCCTCAAATAATGCTTTACCAACTTACCTTAACCCAGGAAGTTGCCACATGCGATTAATCACCACGTTGGACTACTTAGTGTACAAATCCCTCTCCTGTCTAATCCAGTTACTTTTAGCCATATCCCCTTGGGATCTGGATAGAGCTGGATTGCTGGGTTTAGGATTCTTGTGCCATCTGTCATCAGCAGTGTGATACTTTCTGAGTCTGTGTCTTAAACAGGAATAATAATAGTTCAGAATTCACAGGCTTGTGTAGAGATTACGCAAGTTTAATACATAGTGGTGGCCTATTCTACTCTTATTCCAATTACAGGTTGTACCCCTGTTGTTGTCACATCCTCCCTTCCCTTTGCCCTGGGAGCCAGCTCTATCTATCTTCCAGGGCCAAGCTGAAACCTAGCTCCACCAAGAGGCCTCTCCTCACCCATCCGAGACCTCAGGATCTTGCCTTCCTCGGGGCTCCTGCTCAGTGCAGTTGTACGCTTTATTGACCAAGGTAAAAAATTAGCCTGAACAACATTAAACAATGTATGCTTATCGTAGCTGCATTTTGTCTTTCCCACGAGATTCCATGTAATTTGGGGGGGGGGGAGTCATATGTTTCCCTAAGGTGAAGGTCAACACCAGGCTGACCCTTGCAGCTCCCAACGTACCCGCTGAATGAATGTTGTCAATTCACTGGACACTTACCTAGGTGGAAAACTGCCTTTCTCTCCCTGGGGCACCTAACAGAAACCAGTGAAGTGGAAGGAGGTGAAAGGAGACCACAGCACTGTCGAGATCTGAGCAAAATGAAAGAGAACGAATTATTCCAAAGTCACAAAGCTCGTGGGTGTCAGGGGAAGGGTCTGTTCCCTGATCCGAGGCCCAGAGTCCAAGACCTTAGCTATGGTGCTAATCAGGAGCCAGCTGTGCCCACCATTGCTTTATTCCACGTGTATTTATTTAGTGCCTCCTCTGAGTCAAGTGGATTATACCAGGCCTCTGTCCTACAGGGAATTAACTTACTTCACCCTCCCAGGAAGTAGCCTGTGAGGTCAACAAAGCCATCCCCATTCTTCTGGAAGAAGAAGAGTAAGTGGACAGCATTATTCATATGATGTCATCAGCTAGGAGCCAAGATGGGACCTTTTATGGCTCCTGCCTCCTTGTCCTGAGGCAGAAAATGAAGTCTGCCACCTCCCCACGTTCGTCTGCGCTGGGTTTAAGAGAGTCTGACCCACCTCAAAGTGAGATATTCAGGCTGAAACCTCAGTATGGAGGACGCACTGTACGATCTGGCCCTAGGAAAGGTGGAGTGATCGTCTCTGGAAAGTCATGATCTCTCCCACAACAAAACACAGGCAGGAACTCTCAAAACCCAGAGGCAAGCGAAAGGTTTAGAATGGTCTAAAGAGTGTTCACGCTAGGGAAACAGACAAATAAGGATAAGAATAAGTAAAATTCGTGGCATTTTAACATGCCCTAATCCCCTTCTCCTTTGCCTAGCTCTATGACAGTCCTGAAAACCAACAAGCTTGCATACATAAGAGCCATAGAAACCAGGAACCCAGCAGCCACCCGAGAGGACAGAACAGAACTGGAGCTGCTCCTTCTAAGCACATCGTTGTTCGTGACCTGTCGGCAGCTCCCTCCCCGACCAGGACTAGAACCCCGTGTGCCGGTGCCGCAGGCAGAGGATTAGCCTGTTGAGCCTGTCAGGGTTTGTCTCTAACTCACCTGACTCAGAGATTGTTGTGTTTCATTTTGCATGCAGTCTCGCCCACGGGTGTTTGTCAGAATCAGTCAACACTGTCTGGATTGTTGGCTCATTTGGGACTAACAAGAGGCTGGCCAAAACAACAACAACAACATAGGAAAAGCTGAAGAATTAGATGCCCATCTGAAGTTTATAAAGCTCCTCCGTGTGGGGGCTGGTGCCGTGGCTCACTTGGTTAATCCTCCACCGGCGGCGCCGGCATTCCTTATGGGCGCCAGGTTCTAGTCCTGGTTGCTCCTCTTCCAGTCCAGCTCTTTGCTGTGCCCTGGGAAGGCAGTGGAGGATGGCCCAAGTGCTTGGGCCCCTGCATACCCGCATGGGAGACCAGGAGGAAGCACCTGGCTTCAGATCGGCGCAGTTCCAGCCATAGCAGCCATTTGGGGAGTGAACCAATGGAAGGAGGACCTTTCTCTCTGTCTCTCTATCTCGATGTTTGTAACTCTACCTGTCAAAAAAAAAAATAATAATAAAGAAGAAGAAGAAGCAGTTCCTACGTGTTTCTGGGAATGCAGAATTCTACATGCTCACACAGCACAGTGTGAGTTTCGTATCTGAGCGTAAGGTTCTGTGCAAGCAGGAAGTAAGGGCCAAGGCCAACGTGTGAAGTGCCTGCCCCAACACACACACGATGTCCCTCAGAAAAGGCTGGGAGGCTTATTTGGTCCAGGAATATACAGAAATCACTGTGTAATTATTAACATACCACCGAGCTAGCCACGCAGGTGCTTTAGTGGACACACATGACAAAGAAGGCACTTTACAGAATCAGATGTTTAAAAAGTTAAGAAACAGTTATAGCAGCAAGAACATCTGCAGTGGATGTCAAGAACTAGAGCAAACTCTGGGGAGAAACAGGAGAATCTGCTGTTCAAAAGTAGCAACATTATACTATTTAAAATGTCCAATATTCAGCAAAAAAAAAATTGCTGCCTCCAGCAAAGTATGGTTCATACACAGAAATTTTTGCAAAGCATTAAAGGGGCCAGCATTGTGGCATAGCAGGTAAAGCTGCCACCTGTAATGCCGGCATCCCACATGGGTGCCAGGTTGAGTCCTGTTTGCTTGACTTCCAATCCAGCTCCCTGCTAATGTGTCTGGGAAAGCAGTGGAAGGTGGCCCAAGTGCTCGGGTCCTTGCACCCACATCGGAGACCCAGAGGAGGCTTTTGGCTCCTAACTTCAGCCTGGTCCAGCTCAGCTCACTGTGGCCCTCTGGAAGTGAATCGGCCATTGGAGGATCTCTCTCTCTCTCTCCCCATCTCCCTCTCTCTGTGTAACTCTGATTTTCAAATAAATAAACAATTTTTTAAAAAAAGAATATTCATAATAATGGTTGCAGACTTCAGAAGTCTACTTTCAGTAGAGGCTAGGGCACGTAGACAGAAGAGCCATAAGGAAATAGAAGACCTGAGTAGCATTCTTAACCAAAGAGACCTAATGAACATCTAATGACCATTGCAACTAACTGACAAGGAATTTAAAGCATGCAAGAAATATTCTCTTGACAACCATGCAACGAAAGTAGTAATAAGGGGGCCGGTGCTGTGGCGTAGCAGGTAAAGCTGCTGCCTGCAGTGCCAGCAACCTATGTGGGCACTAGTTCAAGTCCCGGCAACTCCATTTCTGATCTAACTCTCTGCTATGGCCTGGGAAAGAAGTAGAAGATGAGCCAAGTCCTTGGGCCCCTGTCCTGCATGGGAGACCCGGAAGAAGCTCTGGGCTTCGGATAGCCCCCGCTACAGCCATTGCAGCCATTTGGGGAGTAAATCAGCAGACGGAAGACTCTCTCTCCTTCTCTTTCTCTTTCTCTCTCTCTCTCTCTCTCTCTTTCTCTTTCTCTTTCTCTTTCTCTTTCTCTTTCTCTTTCTCTTTCTCTTTCTCTTTCTCTTTCTCTTTCTCTTTCTCTCTCTCTCTCTCTCTCTCTCTCTCTCTCTCTCTCTCTCTGCCTCTGTGTAACTCTGCCTTTCAAATAAATAAACATATCTTTTAAAAGAAAAGAAAGCAGAAATCAGTAATAGAAGACAACCTGGTAATTATCAAATGTATAGAAGTTTAGCAATGGGCAAAAGAAAAAAAAATCATAAGGGAGATTAGAAAATAACTCGACATGAATGAAACAAAACATGAGACAGAAAAAAACTGTGGGATGAAACTAATGCTCAGATTAAAATTCTTAGCTATAAATGCTGACATTTAAAAAGGAGCTTCTCTTATCAGTAACCTAACTTTCCACCTGTAGGAATCAGACAAGGGGAGAGGGGACTTGGTGCAATGCTTAAAATACACTTGGGACACCAGAGTGATACCCAGAGTGCCCAGGTCCACTCTCAGATCAGCTTCCTGCTAATGTGCACCTTGCGAGGCAGCAGGTGATGGCTCAAGGACTTAGTTCCCTGCTACCCACATTGAAGACCCAGAACATGTTCCAGCCCCAGCTGTTGCAGGTATCTGGGTAGTAAAACAGCAGATAGGAGGTTTCTCTTGCTCTCTCTCAGCCTTTCAAATAAATACATTAAAAACATTTTTTAAAAGAAAACAGAAAAAGAAGAGTAACCCAAATAAAAAACACACAGAAGGAAGGATATTTTAACTATTTGCATGAAAAGAAATGAAATATGGAGGGGCCAGTGCTGTGGTATAGCAGGTAAAGCTGCTGCTTGCAGAGCTGGCATCCCATATGGGCGCCGGTTCGAGACTCAGCTGTTCTACTTCCGATCCAGCTCTCTGCTATGGCCTGGGAAAGCAGTAGAAGATGGCCCAAGTCCTTGGGCCCCTGCACCCATGTGGGAGACCCAGAAGAAGCTCCTGGCTCCTGGATTTGGACTGGCACAGCTCCAGCCGTTGCGGTAAATTGGGGAGTGAACCAGCAGATGGAAGACCTCTCTCTCTCTCTCTCTCTCTCTCTCTCTCCTTTTCTCTGTGTAACTCTGACTTTCAAAATACAACAAAAGAAACCTTTAAAAAAAAGAAATGAAATATGGGATGGAAAAATAATAGAGACTTATTAGAGAAAGCAAAAGCTAGTTCTTTGAAAATATCAATATTGATCCATCCTAGCCAGGCTGTCCAAGAGAAAAAGGGAGAAGACTCAAATTATTAATACCAAAAAATGAAAGAGGGGATCCTCACTGCCAACCTTTCTGAAATAAGAGACTGACTGAATATTATGAACAACTGGATGACCAGAAGTCTGATAACTCAAGTGAGATGGACAAATTACTGGAAGGAAAAACTAACTCAAGACGATATTAAGAATCTGATTTGAGGCCGGCGCCATGGATCACTAGGCTAATCCTCTGCCTTGCGGCGCCAGCACACCGGGTTCTAGTCCCGGTTGGGGCGCCGGATTCTGTCCCGGTTGCCCCTCTTCCAGGCCAGCTCTCTGCTGTGGCCAGGGAGTGCAGTGGAGGATGGCCCAAGTGCTTGGGCCCTGCACCCCATGGGAGACCAGGAGAAGCACCTGGCTCCTGCCATTGGATCAGCGCGGTGCGCCGGCTGCAGCACGCCAGCTGCGGCGGCCATTGGAGGGTGAACCAACGGCAAAAGGAAGACCTTTCTCTCTGTCTCTCTCTCTCTCACTGTCCACTCTGCCTGTTCAAAAAAAAAAAAAAAAGAATCTGATTTGACCCATAACACATAAAGAGATGGAATGAGAATTTTACAACTTCCCTCACGGGCCCAGGGCTGTATAACTTAAATGATGAATTTTATCAAATCTATAAAAAAGAATCAGTGTCAATGCTTCACAAACTCTTCCCCCCCAGAATGCTGGGCCTGTTTCAGCAAATGTTGTTTTGCTCTTCAGAATGTGCAACACAGAGCAATTCCACGTCTAGGTATGTATTCAGAACTGGAAGCCTATGTCCACCCAAAAACTTGTACATAAACGTTCATGGTAGCATTATGCATGATAGCCAAAACCAGAAATGACCGAGACAACCACTGAGTAACTCACAATGGAAACATCAAAGGTGGCATGGCTGCATGATGGAATATTATTTGGCCATGAAAAAGGAATCAAGTA